AATTTTAAAACAGTGACGAAACCAGCGGTAACGTTCCGAAGAGCGCGTAGCCACGAGCAACGCAGGGTTAGCTTTTGTCCGATACAACGACCGGCCGTGTCTCAGTGTTTCGTAGGACTCAATATGAAAATTTTCTCGGAATACTTATTGCAGGCTCGATTTAAAACAACAAAGTAGTAAATGCTTTGGTCAGTTTGTGTGATTTTATTTGAATGTCTTTGTGTCGTGCAACTCAATTGCCTGTGTTTTACTACAAAGCGCTTGTTGCAGAAATTAGAAAGTAAACTTGGTGATAATGCTTAGCATGTTCATGAATTTTTTATACTATAAAGAGTTCCTTGAACCAAGGGCTAGCTTAATGTATAATTTTTCTTCCCTTGATTAGCTTGTAGATGGGAGTTTTTGAAATTTGACAGTGTAAAAACGTTCTGAAAATTTCAGAAAAAAAAGTTTTGGAACAACTGTGTAAGCAGGTAAGCTATTGCAATATATATCATTTGAAATTATGGTTTAGTCATTTGATGAATACGTCGCTAAATACCTAATGGCTAATAAAGGTAAGGGTATAAATCTAAATTTGAATTCCTCCAATCTCACTAACACCTCTTTATGCAATGTATATGATATTTTTCAATCAAGTATGAAATTTTAGTGCAAACAATATAAATCTTGAAAACTTGAGTTGCTTGATTTCGACTTTAAACGCATGAATCTGTATAAAATCATCACGAGCAACCAAATAATTTAACGCTGAAATTGGTTGTTAACACTCGAAGACTCAACGTGTAACTCATTGATTTCACAATAAACGACAGACCAGCCATTATAGTTTCAGAACAAAAAAGAAGGAGTTTCGGTTCTGTTTTGTTGCACCCAATGACTGCTTAATTAAACCCTTCAGTATGCATATATTTTGCCATCTAAAGTTGAAGTTTTATTTTTGTTCAAGCTTCCCAATTGGCTATCAACCTCTAAAAATATATTTTTAGCTAATTTCTATTCATTTTCTCTTAATTTTTTAAATATATATATATTTTCTGACTAGCTTGAGAATCGTGACTGCTAAACAAAATCATGCAATTTAATCTTTTTGTTGAATTTACGTAGTTATCATTTTACCAATTTTGAATCCAGAAATGATCGTAGTTCAACTGGTTTTAAAATTCAAAAACTTTCTAAAACGTGGTTGAGTGGAAACTGATCAAAACGTTTCATTATCCATCTTCAACTCTTCTTTGAAAAATTAATACAACGTTTGTATCAGCACAAATTTAACCAACCATCATCCATAATTCTTAACTTTTTTATACAATTATGCAACTCTTGTACAGGCTCTCTAGAATGAAGTTGATCTCAAAAAATCTAAGAACAACAGGCGTTCCCCCTGATCTACTGAAACTAAGGAAATCAAAAGTGGGTCTAGCGTTTACCATTAGACTAAGAAGTAGCACGAACCTATCCGCCTGAAAATTTATAGTGTGACGCACAGACGGTGCATACCCGCACCGAGCGCCCATGAATCATAATCAATTCTATTGTCATAATATGGTCAGCATCTATAAAATGACAAAGTAATCTATTATAATCCATTAAAAATGGATTATAATCCTAATATTTTTTATCCCAATAAAATCCATTATAATCGATTATAATCAATTAAAATGGTTTTTTGCGAAGGGTTATTCATGAAATTTACAATTTTGTTCAAAATTATCTCATTTCCTGTTTAGTGTAGTTGCTACGTGTTATGTTTCATAAAATGTTACATTTAAAAAAAAATTATTGATTTTTTGTCTCAACTTTTTCTAATTTATCGCAGTTTAACACTTCATTTTAACCCCCCCCCCCCCCCAGCAGGTTAAGCCCCCAGTACCCAGTATACTACCACCCACCAGTTTACTATCCCCGCCCCAGTTTGAACCCTCCCACCATTTACCCCCCCCCCCCCTCCAGTTTACCCTTGCCCCTTTAGCCGGGGGGGGGGGGGGGGGGGGGGTAAGAAAGCTTGAGGGGGCGAGGAGATGACCAGTTTAACCCCCCCTCCCCCGGTTTATTTAACCACCCCCCCCCCCTTCCCCGGTTTACTTCCCCATCCCCCCAGTTTATACCCCCCAGTTTATACCCCCCAGTTTACACCCCTCCCCCCAGTTAACCCTGCCCCTTTAGTTGGGGAGGGGGGGTGGGGTAAAGAGCTTGAGGGGGCGAGGGGACGAAGTTGAGACATGGCATTTAGTAAAAGACAGGGCATAAATTCTGCAAACTTCTCGCAAAGTTTGCAAAGTTTTGAAAAAATAATCGAATTTAGTTCTAAAATTGAAATAGATTATAATCAATCATAATTGATTATAATGGATTTTCATTTCAAAATAATCAATTATAATGGATTATCTTGGCAAAAATAATCGATTTCAGTGACAAAAATAAAGGATTAGAATCGATTATAATGGATTATAATGGATTATATTTGTTCAAAAATAATCGTTTATAATGGCTATATAATCGATTTCGTGGTCTGATTTTTACATCCGTAATGGATTATAATCGATTATTTTCGTCTCGGGAATCCATTATAATCGATTAAAATCCATGGGCGCTCGGTGCGGGTAAGGACCAAAGTTTGATTTATAAAATCCCCTCTCGGACAAACCTCATGTAACTGTTACTTTTGCTGCCTGGATTTTTTGGGATTTTTATACGTGGAAGGAAGTGTGAGGGAATAGCGATTGAGGCGCTTAACTTAATTTTTTCAAATTAATCGGAAATAGCAAACGAAATATTCGAAAAAACATCTTTTTTTTCTGGTCGTGGTTATGAATTGTTTGAGGTTCATTTTTATGAGGAAATATTTTTGGTGACAAGCCTTTAAAAATCAGTTTTTCGCGATCGTTTGTAACTCTAAAAATATACGAAGAAAGCGTTTTCGGTACATAATAACCCCGTGCCATCCTCAATATCCACTCTTCATTTTTCATTCTACTCCAAAAAATCTCACGTTTCGAAACTGAGTATGTTAACAGTACAGTATTAAGACTGTAATTGCTTCAATAAACTATAATAACTGGGTTCATTCATACAATGTTTTTTGCTTTCCTATTCTTTTTCGATCGATTGATCTGTCAGTTTGATATATAAAGATGGCATGATTTAAGTTTTAAAGTTTTTTCTCTGTTTAGCTTTTTTATTTTCTATTTTCAATCATCTTCTGTCGGTTTTGTTTTTTTCTGCAAATTTTAAGCACGCCTGTCCAGTAAAAATAAGGGAGACTGCGCATTGAAAAAATCTGATTTCTCGGTCAGATTTTTCCACAGAAAGTGTAAAAACGTCGCTTTCTGTCTGTCTTTTTAAAGATCTTTCGAAATGCATTGCTATAAATTTGTAGTTATTCATACCAATTACTTTCAATTTAACAATATTTTCACTCTTCTAAGAAATTCAATGGAATGCATAATTTATACAATAATTGACTGGTTAGTTTAAATACTACAAAAATTTCCACTACGATTATAACGGATTATTATGATGATTTTTCGACAATTATAATCGATTATAATTACCAAAATTAGGTCTTTAAAGGATTTATAATTGATTATAATCGCAATAATTTCAAAGCGATTATAATCTCTTATAATCGATTATAATTGATTATAGTTCTTGCTAAAAACCAATTATAATCGTTTATAACCGATTATAATCGATTATAATCGATTATAATCTCTTATTTTGCCGAAATTTTTCTTTATTCGAATTATATCTTATGCGTTATTATTTTTGTGTCAACAAAAAAATCTCTAAAATAGAGATCTCTTGAACACTTTGGTTCATCTGAACACAAAGTTTCACCAGGAAACGAAAGTTTCATAGAGATCCTTTCATATGAGTGGAAAAGTTCTCGCGGTAGATGAAAAATAAATTTTCCGAATCATCAAGAAACTGAATCAATTTGCTGATGTTTTGTTGTTTAGAAAAGCTTAAAGTATGCATCACAAAACAACTCTTATGGGGAGGAAATGAAAAAAAAAACTTAATAATTTGAATTAATTGGAAAACTTCTTTAAAATTTTCTCATTTTTCATAGGAACCAACGTCCACAAAAAGCATAAATTATCAGCAGTTTAGATGCAACTTCGAAGACAAAAATGGACAAACAAAGGGGATTATCATCAATTATAATCGATTATAATGGATTTTTGTGCAAAAATTATGAAGTAGAAATTTGAATTAAAAAAATGGATTATAAGCAATTATAATCGATTATAATTGTATCGAAAAATAAACGAATAAATAATCGATTATAATCGACTATAATGGATTATAATTAAATATAATTTGATTTTAAAAACAGAGATTATAATCGATTATTAATTGATTAAAAAGGATTGTTACTCAATTTTAGTGAGACTGGTACTAGAATTGTAATATAATTGATTATTAACGCTTGAAACTGGATGCGGGTACGTTTTTTCCGGTAACCTTTTCACAATATGAAAGTTCTTGCTTCTTCATTTGTTCTTTTTCTATACCGATTGGTCACCACCGTGAATTATTCTCTTTCACATGAGTGCTGCAGTTTCTTTTTATGTCTAAAGCTTCTAATGCAGGTTTCATATCGCTTTCTTTGTTAAAAGGAAGTTAAAATGAAAGTGTTAAGGTCACGAAAAACGATCTTTTTTTAGTTACGAAAGCGCATTTAAATTTTCAGATTTCCTAGCGGAATGAAAGTTTACTATTGATCCAGTTTTCTCAATTTTATTTGATTATCAGGTGGGTTAAAGCAACGAAGTCAACTGATTTTGAGTCAAAATTCTAAATTACTTGTCTGTTTAATATGTGCGAAAATTTCACTGAGTTTTTTCTAAATATAATCGACGAGCATCTTTTTGGCATTCCTTCGTATAAAAATTTACTAAGTGTAGTTTTCTCACTGTTTCTAGATGAAGTTATGCGTGGAGATATCAAATTGGTTTTGGTTGAACCAAATTGTTAGAATGGCTTAATGTTATCCATTCGTCAAAATTAGTTGATTTGTCGGGTATTTGTGTTTTCACCAGAAAAATATATCAAATAGTTTTCTCAAATTATATGGAACTATACAAAATATACCGCTGATCGATTGTTCAGCTTTCTTTTTTCGTCAGAATAAATTGATTGTATTGAAACATTCTTGAAGTTATTTGAATGGTTGAGCGAAGGTTCTTCGATTTGTGATTCGGGTTTGGGTTGTTGTAATTTTTTTTAGCATTATCGTTTTTTGTCATCGTTTTGTCTTTTGCGTGTATTATTACGATCAGGCATATTTGATATCGGAAAGATTGTTTCGGAATAGCTAATCGAGTCTGACAAAACGTACAGTGGGATAAGTTCGTTTGAAAAATCAGCGAGATTTGTAAAATTTTGGGATAGAGATAAAAACTGAATGAGGGATACAATATCGTCGTGTACTTCCAGTTGAGCAGAGAGGCAGTTGATCATTGTCTGAATAAGAGTCTAGTGAAGTGTATTGGTGTGGTGGGCATGGCAGGGTGGAGTCATTATTGAGCAAAGATAAAGGGGAAGGTTTTGGGGAGGAGGGGTGGCTAGGAAAAGGAATCAATTGGAGAGGAAGAAGACATTAAGGGTATATTGGTTTCCAATTCCATAGACAGAGCTGATATTGGTCCAGTCAGACGAAACAGAATCACCGGAACCAAAATTTCTATCACTCACTTGAATGACCAGCCATTTCAGAGCATATTTGTTCAGCTGGGACTCCACCTCTTCAGCGACTTCATCTAAACTGCTCTTGATAAGTTTTTCACTCTGACACACCTCGTCCGCTATCTTCTGAGCCTTCTCTCTACTATCTGTTGTAACTGTTTCTTTTATGTCTGTCAGTTTGGCTGTGACTACTGCGTAAACGCTCAAGTTAAACAGACAATCATGCTCATTTTTAATTTCAATCAACTCTCCTAACTCGGGTTTGCTTTTGATTTTGAAGTTGCAGCGAATGTCGGCACCAGTCACTATCCAAGTGTGCTCTGGGTAAGAGCTCATCTGGATTTTTTTGACCTTTTCGAGGGTACCTTCAAGATCCAGCTTCATCTGCGCACACTCAACCAAATTGGATTTTATTTTGCTGATCAACTCGGCTGAAGCAACACAGGGCAATATTTAAAACTCATCGCACTTCAAACGATCACCAACTGATTGGTGCATGCTCTTAATCTCAAATTAAAGTCAGAATTTATCTTTGTCCCGACCATTGAAAATGGAGAGGAGTTTTGTTTTCGGGTGTTTTTGTTAACCATGCTAAGTCACGTACCACAAAAATCGTAAGAATAGGTCGAGAGTTACATAAGAAGTCCTTTAAAAATTTTAGAGAAAATTTTGTTTGAAAACTTTGCTCTTTTGTCTATAATTAGTAGCAAAAAGTTCGGACAGACAGATTTAATTAAACTGAGCAATCATTTCTTTTCGACGTTTTTTGCATGCAAAATCTGAAGCCGAACAACCCTGAATTTTTTGTCAGACCAAATTCAAAATGCATGATCGTCGATTATCCGATGATTATCCTAGCATATTTTTTAAATAATGCGATGAACATCCAGATTTTACTATAAAACAGTTCGTAAAATTAGTTAAGAAATTGAAATCTGGAGTTATTTTGAACAACAAAAAAAAACAAATTAAACACCAACCCCACCCCCACCCCCCCCCCCCCAAATGGAAGTAAAGATGATCAAATTATTCAAATTTTGGAAAATATTCGCAGAAAAACATCAGCCATCCTGAGTAATATTTTTCCTGTTTCAAGGCTTACTAATCGACGCTTCGGATGCACTTGCCCACCGTGGTTATAAGTTTTGAGCGAAACTCTGCTTTATGATCTTTCGAAGTTATGTTTATTTCAGTTTCAATTTCCGTTGATGTCTAGACAGTTGCTCTTTTCAATTAATTCTGTCTGTCCGATTTTTTTGCAACTCTCTATAATTAGTAGCAAAAAGTTCGGACAGACAAAAATAATTTAAAAGAGCAAATGACCTTTTTCGGACAATTCTTACATGCAACAGCTAATTTTTCACAAAGAAAGTATGTCTCAATGTCACCTGAAAATTGAAATTTGCATGCAAAAATTGCTCAAAAATGGCAGATTGCTCTTTTTAATTATTTCTGTCTGTCCGAACTTTTTGCAACTCTCTATAAATTAGAGCGAATATAGCGAGCAACATAATTTTATTCGTTAAGTGTAAACGAACTAAGGAGTTTTCACTTATATAGGTCTTCACAATTTTTATTCAGGAGAGTCTTTTATTTTTTTCACGCTTAACCATGATCCAGTTTTCTCTGAATAAAATAAAGTTGCGAAAAATCTGACGATCATGCTTAGTTTTGAAGTTCCAACATTTTCAACGTGAAATAATTCTTTTTCATAAAGCGCAATCGAAAAACATTCAAAGATATATTTTTTTTGGTTTCTTGCTCTTGTACACTTTTCCAACTGCCTGTTTCGAGGAAATTTTGTTTTCAGTGGTGCTTAAACTCTTTGTTTGTTTTCCGCGCATCGCACCACAGATAGATGTCAGAATGAGTCGAGTTAGGTATCATTTAACACCCTGTGAGTCATGATTTGAGCGATATAAAAAAGTTCCCATAAGTTTTCTCAGTGTCGACGTAAATGGGTGGCTTAAATGCTTTAAATTTTAGTCTAATTTCGGGCGAAAAATGCGAGCACACAGGCGTACAAAAATTTAATTCTAATAATTCAATTTAAGCCGTCAAAGTTAAGTATTCTTCAGTAAAAATTAGGTTTTGAAATTTCTTTTTGCGCCTTTTGTCAGACTAATATTTATAGAAAAAAAAAACAATTTCTGCTAAAATTTTGAAAAAAAAAATAGAAATGTTGTTAATTTTTCAAACTGATTATTGTTTCCTTTTTTGAGAATAACTGTTGTCGAATGTATCCTTTTTTGTATCGAAAATGCCTAATTTTTAAGATGTAGTTGAGATCCTTTCACTTACAGCACGAAGATAAATGACACAATTTGACAAAAAAAAACTTTTTAAATAATTATTTTTTGTGGTCAGAACTTTGTGCTACTTGCATGCCAACCGGCTATACGATGCCTTTTTTTTAAATGGCGAGAAAATTCAATTTGAAATGGTACATTTTGAGTCAAATTTTGAGGAAGTAAAGCCAGCGAGTAGGTTTTGCAAAAGCAACTTTTCGATTCTAGAAGTTAAAACTTAATTTCAATTCAGAAAAACTTGTTTCAGAAGTGCTAATTTCAATTCAGAAAATTTTTTTCAGAAGTTTCATTTAGCAGTTTTTTCTGAACATAAAGTTTTAGAAGAAATTCCAAAAATTATAGTACAAATAAAAAAATTTTAAATTTTGGAAAAAAAAAACTTCTGATTTTATTTTCATTTTAGTTTTCTAAAACAAAAACAAAACCAATTTGAAGAAAAATCATTTTGAAAAAAAACAGCAACCTGTTATTTTTTGCTACCATTTTGAAGCAATTTAACAGTTTCCAAAGCTATTATACTGGCCGAAAACCTTGAGTTTTGATCGCATGAATCTTATGAGTTGCTGATCAAGGGAAGGTAAGGTGTAACTGTTTTAAATTTATCAAACAAACTTCATCAGTACAGTATACCGATACTAATCAAATTGCGTTTTCGATGTTCGTTTAACGCGATGCGGTCTAGTCTAGTAATGTCTTCTGAGAAACAGATTTAAAATAAAGACATGGAAACTCATAAGAAAAGTCTGATCTAACTTCAACCTACCTTTATAAATTTCTGCCCCTTGTTTTAATTTCAACGTTTTTTCTTTTGTTGATTTTTGCTTCTCAAATTCCGTTTTCAGCTTTTTTTCTTTTAGCTTGAGTTCGCTTTCCAATTGAAATTTTTCTTTTTTCAGTTCCTCTATTTGATCTGAATATTTCTTTCCAAGGTTATCCTTTTCCTTTTTGTAATTTTGTTCAGCCAGTAGCTTCCCATGTTCCATCTTTGCAATTTTTTCCTCTAATTCTTTGTTTTTTTCTTGCTGTCGCACCAAATTTTCTAGCGTCTTCTTTAGTCCCTCGATTTGCTCCTCGAAACGTTTTTCTTTCAATGCCAATACTTGCTTTTGTTCAGCAATCAGTTTTTCCATTTTATCTTCTAGTGCTTTTATCTTTGATTCCAATTCTTGCCTGAGGATGTTCAAATTCTTGAAGTAAGGTTCTTCTAATTCTTTTCTAAGTGTTCTTAATTCTTCTGCATGTCGTTTTTCCATCTCTGTGAGTAATCCCGCGAACTGCTCTTGCTGAATCTCGTCTGGAATTTAATAAACTAAATTATTTTCCTATACGTATGCATCAATGTAAAAAATAACTACAATCCGCGATATCAAGCTTTCAAATTAATGATTTTTAGCTTTTGACAAATTTATCGTACAACAGCTAAAATTTTTGATTTAACTCTCGCTGCTTTTAGTCAAACATCTTAATTTTTTTATTTGAGTTTTTGCTATTTTTCTTTTGTCGACAATGCTGTGAAGAAAACTTGAGGCGCAGCTTTTTGTTGGATGAAAGTTGTTTTGGTCTCGAATGGAACCTCTCTGAAAAATCGCAATCGTCGAAAGTTGTTCCTTTGTTTCAAATGCAATTTCGAAATTGAGGTTTCAATTGCACTGCCATTTTGCAATCTCAACCTAAGATTTTAATTCAAAATTTATGGCCGCAATGTTCAATAAAATTGATAATAACAACTTCATCGGACAACCTCTTACTCTTTTGAGTTATTTCAGACATTTAGAATTTGAAATGGCATTAAAACTAAAACCGAATTTGTAAATTAGTGGTTGAAACAGTCAAAGGAGCAACGCAAAACAATTGTGCTTTTTCAGAGATGTCGTTTTTTAAAGCAAATTTAAGGCCACAACCTCAAACTAAGTTTCCTTCAAAATTGACCATGCAATTGTTCAGAGCGAAAAAACAAAGCCAACGCAAAAACAGCCAAAATCAAATCCAACAGAGCGAAAGACGTACAAAAGACAAGACAGCGCTGATTAAAATTTTTGGAACAAACTGATTAAAACTCGAAAAAAAAAACAATTTTCCTTCGAATTTGTTAAGTTTAGACAAAAATAAGGAAGAAAATATTTTCCGTGAATTTCAGCAGAAATAACATTCCGCAATTTATTTTGCATATTCGCGTCCCATTTTTACCCCAAAAATTGATCATTGTTGGTTTCTTTAGTCAACTAGAACTAATGCTAACACTACTGGGTCAATTGCTGACAGAACTATGTAATAGTGAGCTTGTCATGTAGCCCAGTAAAATTTTGAGAAGGGTATTACCTCCAAAAAGTAAAGAATCAACTTAAACAAAAATCAATTATATAAAACAAAATTGAGAAAATTATACCCTTCTCAAACTTTGTTCAGCTACATAAGACGCTCACTCTGATTAATTTTGTTAGCATTTGGTTGGGTAGTTTTGGCTTAATGTTTGATTGAAAAAAAGTCATATTAAACCCTTTTTTTAAAATTTGGGGTCCGAATTTCGCAAAGTAAGTTGCAACATATTAATCCGCTAAAGCTCTAAATAAGTTCATCCTACTAGTTTTCCGTCTAAATTTAATCCAAAAAAAACTTGTTCTAATTTTTTTTTCTTTTTTTTCGGATAGTTTCAATCAACAATGTCAGTTCTTGATGACAGAAAATTGATTGCAACTATGTTTTAAAAGGATTTTTTGATTGAAAACGCTGTCAAAAAGTTTCAAAAACTTAGGTTTCAGCATTTTTATCCTCCAAGGTATCGTTTTTTTTAGCCTCCAAAAAATTATTTTCTTAGATTATGCTGATGAATAACTTGTAAAAGTCAAAATACTGCACGGGTAATCTAGTTTGAAAACAAATTGTCCTTATTTTAGGAAATGTATAGCCTGTTAAGTATAAAAACCTAAAATACGTCTTGAAAGAAGCAGAAGAACATTTTCACTCTCAATTCGTCAAAGGAACAAAGCAAGAAAGTATTTTAAAAAATACTTCGTTCAAATCCATCAGATGTTTTAGATGGGTTCCAAAATATATACAATCACGGGATTTAGAAGATGCAACTTTTAGTTTTCAAGCGATGAAATGAATGATAAGTTTTTAGTTTTCAAGCGATGAAAAGAACAAAAAGTTTCCATGTTTCACCTATTTTCTCTGCAACTATTGAATTTCCCTGGTTGAAATTTCATCACAAGAAAACGGCCGAGACGCGAAAAAGTTTTCGTTCATTTCATCGCTTGAAAACTAAACTCTAGCTTAGCGACTGTAGAAAAAACCCAAATATTTAACTTCTTCGCACTATGTAAATAGCAGAAATCGAATAGAGGTAATGAAAAGTATCAAACTTACATTCCTTGTTGTCAGACGTTTTTGCTGTTAGACTTTTTGCTCCTTTTGTAGCAAGTTGCTTGGCCAGTTCTATCTCAAAGTTTTGTGTCCACTTTTGAAGCTCCTTTTCCAATCTATCTTTTTCTTTTTTTAACTGTTTAAATTGATTTGAAAAACGTAGTTCTTGTTCTTGTTTATCTTCTTCGTATTTCCTTTTTGTGTCTTCTTGCTGTTTCTCCATCTGTGCAATTTTTGACTGCAATTCTTTGGAGCTGCCTTGGGCTTTCATTTTTTTCTGTTGTTCTTTCAGGCCCATTAGTTCTTGCTCCCAAAATGCCTGCTTTGCTGCAGACTCCTCGGCTTGTTCAGCCCGCAAAATTTCTTGGTTTTTTTGAATTTGTTGAATCTGTAGCTCGAAAGTGCGTTTTTGAGCGTTCATATCCTTTTCCAGTGCTTCTTTAACTTTTTGCTGGTTTAATTTGTAATCCTCAAATTCTTGCGTTCTGAAAATCAAATAACTTCTTCTTTTTAAATACTTATCTTAGGAGACTTCGCAAGGGCAAAATTGTCGCTTTTTAGATACAAAATTTCATGATGTTCTGGTTTTAAAACTTATTTGTATAATAGTGTATATCATTTAGCCCTCAAAATCTAATTAGCTTAACAAAAACAAACATAGACAAAAACGAGTTGGAATAGAATCAATGAGCTCAAGAAAAGCCAAAAATTATGATGCTTTGTGGCTTGACATTTGGTTTAATTTAAAGCAAGTCAAATCCATTTGCTACAGAGAAAGCAGAGCACCAAAATTTTGAAATGTTCGAACTTTGGACAAAAAATATAAATTTGAAGCTATAATAATTTGAAGGTCTTTTTATCAACACTTTTATGCTCAAACAAAAATTATTTGTGTTCATCAAATAAAAATTTTGAAATATATAAAGCTGCAATTAAAAAATCAGCCCAAAAAGAAATACCTAGGTCAAAAATTGGTTTATTCCTCTGAGATATTATTTGAACCTAAAAATCGTGTTTGTAATTGGAGAGCGCAATTTGCTTTCATTTTATCATATGAATTTAAATTGAACTCAAAAAAAAAATCAAAATTCAAGTCGACGAATTTTATTTTTGAGCTTGATCGATACTTTTTCCTTACTATATTTTCCAGGAACAAAACTGTCAGGAACAATTTTTTTTTCAAAAACAAAAATTGTAATAACTTTGCAATATTTTTCAGGAACGAAAACGGAAACAAAATCTCGTTCTATATTAGTGTTTAACTATGTTCACTGACACTTAATCAATGTGTTTTGCTGTTATTTTTTGACGTCTAACATTCAGTTTTATACGCACAGCACAATTGCTACAATTAAGTGTCAGTGAACGTACTCAAGACACTTAATAGGTCGTGATGGTTTTTTATGGAGTTCAGTTCAATTTTTTGTTGAAAGGACGGCAAACTCCCTTATCAAACAGCAACGGTGTTAAAGTCACAAAAAACTTTCTAGTGTTTTGAAAGTAGATTTTGATTTATAAGTTTCCCCAGCGGAATGAAAAATTGATCTAATGACCCAGCTTTCGCAAGTTTGAGTAATTTTATTAACAAAGCGTCGATCATAATTTGTATTTTAAAAATCATTAGTTTGAGTCTTAAAGCTCATCTATTGTTTTTAATTTAAAAAATTAGTCCTGTGTTTTTCTGTTTTTTTTTGCTTTCATTGACACTTTTTAGTTGACTAAAGTTCGTATGTTGACTATGTTTGAAAAAGCTATATCATATTTCGCGCTCAAACAAAAGCTAATATTAACAAAATTACATTGTGTAGAACTGCAAACGGATTTAAAGGTGCGAGGTGGGGACACCCTTATCCTTTCAAAATTCCAGTTTTTTTCGGTCAAAACCTTCCTTTAAAAAGTGCCCTACAACAATTTTTGGTATCATTTTTGGTAAATATCGGTTTTTTATTTTTTTTTTCAGGAAAAAGTGACGGGAAAATCAATTTGGGCGAATCAAAGAATTAGGTAGACAAATTTTTCAAAAATCCTACTCCTCAAAATTCTAACATCCCTGCCTGGTTTTAATATCGGTAGGATTATAGTAGTAAAGCTTACCTTTTGTCCAATTGTGTGGTGATCACCTTGATTTCATTTTCGCTGAAATATTGAACAATTTTTTTAACTGCAATCATAGTTATTCGTTCAGAACGAGTGAATTTATCACGTGGAAAGTTTTTTGGCTTTGTTTTCCTCTCCTTGGCTCTTTAAGTTTAATTCTCCCTTATACTGTAAAACAATTTTTGCTAATCATCGGTGATTTGAGTTGGAATCTTATAGAAGCAATTTCAGTGTTTATTCAGATTTCAGATATGATTTTCAGATATGTTTTCAGATACGATTTTGGTAAATATCGGTTTTTTATTTTTTTTCAGGAAAGTGACCGGAAAATCAATTTGGGCGACTCAAAGAATTAGGTAGACAAATTTTTCAAAAATCCTATCCCTCAAAGTTCTTAAGACCCCTGCCTGATTTTAATATCGGTATGATTATAGTAGTAAAGCATACCTTTTGTCCAATTGTGTGGTGATCACCTTGATTTCATTTTCGCTGAAATATTAAACAATTTTTTTAACTGCAATCATAGTTATTCGTTCAAAACGAGTGAATTTATCATGTGGAAAGTTTTTTGGCTTTGATTTCTCTCCTTGGCTCTTTAAGTTTTTTTCTCCCTTATACTGTAACACAATTTTTGCTAATCATCGGTGATTTGAGTTGGAATCTTATAGAAGCACTTTCAGTGTTTATTCAGATTTCAGATATGATTTTCAGATATGATTTCAGATATGATTTTGGTAAATATCGGTTTTTTATTTTTTTTCAGAAAAAAGTGCCGGAAAATCAATTTGGGTGACTCAAAGAATTAGGTAGACAATTTTTTCAAAAATCCTAACCCTCAAAGTTCTAAGATCCCTGCCTGGTTTTAATATCGGTATGATTATAGTAGTAAAGCATACCTTTTGTCCAATTGTGTGGTGATCACCTTGATTTCATTTTCGCTGAAATATTAAAGAATTTTTATAACTGCAATCATAGTTATTCGTTCAGAACGAGTGAATTTATCACGTGGAAAGTTTTTTGTCTTTGTTTTCCTCTCCTTGGCTCTTTAAGTTTACTTCTCCCTTTTACTGTAAAACATCTTTTGCTAATCATCGGTGATTTGAGTTGGAATCTTATAGAAGCACTTTCAGTGTTTATTCAGATTTCAGATATGATTTTCATAAGAATTCTTAACGTCGAGAAATATTGCGTATTATGTGGTTGAAGGTATCAATTGAAATATGTTTTTACCACTGCTTTAAGGTTGTTTTTGTTGTCATAAGCTAATTAGTAAAAAGAGCAGAAAAAAATGCAAAACTGGGAAAACGAAAACATAATAAAAAACAAATTCACCAATTGGCAATCAACAGGCCCCCTTCCATTTTGGTACTATTTTATGATATCAATTTTCGGCATCGAGACGTTGCTTTTTTTCTAAAGGTGCTTTTCGTAATCAAAGTTTGATGAAAAAAGGGGCGCCAAAGAACTGCGCTCTCTTGTCAAGATTTATTGCATTTTTTGGCCTGCATTTTTTAGCCTGCGCGAGTTAACCTGCCCATAAATTTTGGGGGCTTTAAAAGACTTTGTTAGTGCTCGTAAAGTCAATTTTTTAGCCTAAATTTGGCTCATCTTTAAAAATTCACCCTTCCTCATGAAAAATTTAGATCCGCGCCTGGCTGAAATTATAATCAATTTTGAAATAATTTCACCTGTTTTCTATCTGTTCGACTAGTTTAGCCTTTTCTGATTGAGCTTTTTTCACTCGGTCAGTCGGCAGCTCCGGTGCCCCTTGAAGCATAGACCAAAGCTGTTCTATCGAAGACTGGAATGTCTGTTCGGACGTTTTGTCGCTTCTATCCCTACACGAGTCTATAAAGAGATACTTTAGCGCACGACAGCTGGGAAACTTTTTCCGTACAGCAAGCAGATACTCCTGTGCTAGTTTTTGGTCAGTTTTCCCTGCTGATCTTTCTCGATCTTCTTTGGTAGACTCCTTCATTGAGAGCCGAGTGAAAATGACCACCGTCTGAGACCAGAACGGCTCGCCGAACATCTCTTGGAGTATTCCAATCATTCCGACGAGCGATCCTTCTAGACGGGGACTTTGTCCATTCACTGCTATAGCGAAAAGATTCACATGGTCACATCTGGTCTTAAGAGTTGTTCTTAAGTCCTCTATGATGTCGGTGTCCGTATCCCTATCGGGATCATCAAAACCGATAGTATCTATTATACTGATCGGTCGGATGATATTCCCATTAAAGTACACATTCGCCAAAGTAGTGTGCTCAGTGCAACTTTGGGCATCGGCGGAGACTGTAAACATCGGATTGTTGAAATCTAGACCAGCCAAGATGTTGCAAAGACTACTCTTGCCTGTGCCGGTTTTACCAACAATGAGGATTTTTCGTCGCTCATTGTAAACTAGATTCTTCACGATGCTTACCCGTTCGTTTCCAGGTGGCTTGTGGCGGGGAGTTTTTGAAGTAGCCCCCGAGCCGACTAAAAAAATTGCAAAGTTATTCTGTTAATTGAGTGAGGATGGAAAAGTGGCTCCGGCTCTCGGTCGCACTTTTGTTGGTTCGAAGCATGCCATAATTTCAAGCTCGCTGCCTGGGGGACGGGGGGAGGGTGGTTTCGGAGGCAGCAAATGCATGGAACCCCGAAGCAGGGGGCACAATAGTGGTACTCAGTACGGAGCTGAACTGCTCGTATGTTGGTTCTTTCTTTGGTGGTTAAATGGTCTTAGTAAAGATTGAACAAGTGAAAGATAAACCCATAAAAATGTTTTAAAGCTCAGATTTTGCTTTGTTTTTGGGTTGTGGATTCGTTTTGTTTCTGAGGAGATTTCTGATTTTTATAGCAGGTGATATTCAAATTTTGTAAATTGAAAGAACAGATATTTTGCTTTAGATTGTTTTTAACCGTTCAATATCTTTTTTGTTCCGACCATTGATAATGTGGAAGAATTTTGTGTTTTGGTGCTTTAGTTTTTTCTGTCTTTTTTTCTCTCAAAATCAGGCGCAACAAATGATCATTGGAATAAGTCGAGTGATATATCTTAAAAAAGGCGTTTCAGTTTTGATTCGAACAATATTTAGAAAAATGTTAAAAAACCTGTATCAAAATCGAAAAAACCGATTTCAATTCTCAGGATGAAAGTTTGATCCTAGTAAAATGAAACTAGGTCAGAATGGCTCATTTAGGGTTTACTTGGTGAAAAAAAGTTTCTGAAAGTAATTCAAATTTGTTGCAAAAAGCTGATAAAAAATTGGTTTTCTTTCAATTTGTTTTTTTTTTTTCATTTTTTATGGAATTTTTGACGACACTATTTTGTATAATTCTTAAAACAAACTAATCACTAAAAACGACACTCATTTGATGACAATTAACGAGCAAAAAGTTTTTTTTTATGAGTATGATCGGACATTTTGGTGCTACTCGCACATCAACTGGCTATCCTTGTCTTACTCTGCTTTTCTTGAATTTTTGTTTTCAGATTGAAAGTTATTTATTTCTTCTTCAGATCATCAAATTGCTGATTTTGTAATTTTATTTAATAGCCAAGTTTTTAGTTAATTTCTCTACCTCCGCTAGTTTCTGAACTTGAAAAATTCGTTTAAATTACCTCAAAAGCCGTTGGATTTGAGTTTTTTATTTAACGTCAAAATTCTGTGTACTTTGACGGAGAAAGATTTAATAATAAATCAGAATCTTTCTCCGAGTGCTACCTGATTTTGCGTGAGAAAAAAGACAAAAAGCCAAAACACACCCAAATACAACCGTTAGATTCAGCCATAAAAATTCTCTACCTCAAAAATCCCTCAGCGGAGCCAATTTAAAGGTAACAACTTTTGAAAACGAGCTAAACAACTATCGAATTCTATGACGGAAAAGTTGACTCAAACCTTGCAATTTTCAAAGTGAACTCAAGACATCCTAGATTCAGACAACAATATTAGATCCAGGGTCTGAACTTCAAACATAGTGTCAAAAAAGAAACAACTTGCAGAGCCAAAAATAAAACCCCACTACAAATTTCTTAGCTTGTGATTAGTCAAAAAGTATTCCATCGATTACATCCGATTCTAGCGATTGAAAGGGGATCACCGGATACTTTTCTCGTAGAACTAGTGTTAGGGAACTGTTTATAACCAATTAACTTTAAACAGTCAAAGAAATTTAAACTACTTTTCCTCAACCGGTTAATTGCCCAATCAGCATATATCTAGCCGGCAGCGAGACCCGAAACCTTCCCCCATCGCCAGGCGCTGACAAACTGGATGGAACCACAGAGGAACAATCAACTGAGCTTTTCCGTCTACGAGTTAGTGAACTCTTCAGATAAAGCAGCAACTACAGAAGTAAGTCAGGGCGGAATGTGGGTCCGCCAACATTTTACGGTCAAAACTTATTTATAGTTGTTATCGATACCATTACCCAGCCGGTCAAAACTGCTACAGTTCCCATCACCTTAGACAGTTTTCCCCAGAGGAATCAACAGAGACCTCAACATTTCACAATTCGTCGTTGGAAGATAGTCTATTGGAGATCCATTTAGATGATATTCAATCTCTTTCCTCAACTGATCAATCACTTAGAATGACAGCGGAAAACTCAGGCGTTGAATTCGATATAAAGAGTGAAAGTTTTTAAACCGGAATAAAAAACCATTAGCCAAAAAAAATCCAAAACACGATAAAATTTGATACATTTTGAACTATTAACTATTTCATTAGATGATCTTACTTTTTAAAACAGTGCTCTATCTATCTGAAACTAGGCAGCAACTTAACTGAAACGCAGCTCAAACCTTCCAATACTCGGAAAAACTGTCAAAATTTGACAACTGTTACGTACAAATCATCAAATTAGACTCAGCATCTTTTCTAAACTTAAGCATTTACGCTCTATATCTACGTTGCTACTATTTTTCTGTCCGAGAAACTATCTATGTTGTAAAAAAACATCAATTGAAAAAATTAATTTTGTAAATAATTTTGAAATGTTGTTGAAAATTTACATGATTCTATTCTAACTGGAAATTTTATTAAAATTTTTTCAAACCTCTTTTGAGAGAGACAAAAGTAAAATCAAATTATATACAACTCTAAAAAAATTAAGTCAATTGTAATTTCTGAATATTATTCATTTTTCTGCTTATCTACCATAAACACGTACTTTATCCAGGTGTTTTATCACAATTATCTTCCAAGGTTCGTAAATGAAACAGATTTGCGAGAATTTTCTACGTCAAGTTAGAGAAACTATATCTGCTTATTAACAAAATTGGTGGATTTTTACAGTTTTATAATAATTTGAAGTTGTTCCACTTATTCATTTTTCTATGCCTCAATGAGCCTTATTATTTCTCAAAACAATTTCTCCAGCACAGCTTTGTAGTAGTTTTGTTTGACAGTTCACGCAATTATGTAACTTAAACGCTGATTTTTGATGACTTTTGTATCTACTGTCCTCGAAAATAAAAGTTTTTTGATGAAATTTAGCACAGAAAGATAATTTAGTGGGAAAAGTGTATCAATTAACCGATCATTCTCTTCTCCAAATTAAGTATAAGGGAAATCTGCTCGAAAACTCTAAATTTTCCATAATTTCACTTAACTCCAAAACGATAGAAACAAAAACCCGATAAAAACTTATCGATGTTCATTCATGAGAGTTTCGCAGTTTCTTAAGCTTTTGTTCGTAACCTAAAATAAAGAAAATTTTCTCAATATTCACAAATAATTGACATAAATTTCAATTATTTTATGTTAATTGTTAATGTTTAGAAAAAATGTTTAGAAAAAATGTTAAAAAATTAATTTATTAAAAATGTTTGAGAAAAAAGTTAATAAGAATAATTTATCAATATTAACATTAATCTATAACCTTAATAATAATTAACATTTTTCCTGTAAACTCAAAATTAACTTATTTTTGGTTTCTACTTGATCTATCATCTCCCAATTTGAGTTTGTTTCATTCCAAGTCGATTATCAATTTACTCAAAAATTGATTTTTTTTGGGATGGAAAAGAGGTATCATTTCAACGAACGTTCACTAATCCAAAAAAAAATTCAGCACCAAAAAAAAATTTTAGTTAGAAAATTTTAAACCAGAAAAAGTTATTTTCTTGTTTTCCCTTATAATTTTGAAGTAACTCATACTCCAGAGTTATATCAACCTTAATCTGGAAGTAATACCAAAAACATCCCATTTTTTTGCTTTCATTCATCATTTAATAAACAATTTTCTGAATTCGTTGGAAAACAAAAAAATATTTTAGGATTCTCAATAACTTGCTTAAAACACGGTAATCCATGAACGCAATCAAAGCCAACCGACTAAAAAACTTATAAAACAATAGCTTGGCAAAACAATTCAATTAGTTGATGTTTTATAAAAAATCAAGTTCTTTTTAATGGAAAAATTTTTAGCAAATACTTTTGGACTTATAATTACATAGTATATGCTTTTACTGCAAGTTTTAATAAAATAGAAAACCTGTAAGCAAGTCATCACTGCAGTTTTCACTATAGATCAAAGATTTTTGGATCAATTTCCATTGAGAATTTCACGATAATTTGAACTCGATTCTTGCTGGTCTTTATCAAAATTGTATAGATTTTTAGATATTTTCAGACTCAGTAAAAATTATTATAGTAATTTTTCCTAGGTTGGATTTTGTATATTTTTAAAGTTACCTTTCTGTGGATTGTCTTTGGAAACTGCTGATTGTGCTTTCTATCAGTATGAAGAAAGTTAATTTGACATGAAGAAGGCTGCTTTTCTAAATGAATACTCATTTTCTCGCTGCTATATGTATGAAAAATTACAATTCAGACACTTTGGAACTCCACAGATTTTACGATAACTTGACGCATTTTTACGTGCATAGTCTCTAACACACTCAAGACACTTAACTCTTTCGTTTCTATTAATCTCAATACGTAGAGAAAGAACTTGAGAACAAATGAGAGATTTTAAAAGTCTCAAAAATTTTAGAAGGAGACTTGAATTGATCCAAAAAAATGAAAAAAAGAAATAAAAACTGCAAATTTTCTGACCAATTGTTTTTAACTTGAAGGAAAATCAGAATGGATTTCGTTCTTTTTGGTATAGCTGAAATATAAATCAACCAATCTGAATGGAGCCATGAAGTTTTCAAAAATTTTGATATCAGCCAATCAGAATCAAACTTTACTTTATCAGGGACTTTTCAAAAGTTGTGATATCAACCAATCAGAATCAAGCTTTAATTATTCTTGAACTTTCAACAGTTTTGATATCAAGCAATCAGTTCCGAGTCTTACCTTTAATTGAATTTTTATACATTTTTAAAAAATCAATTAAATTGATTTTCATTTTTAGCGGAATTTTAAACCGTTTTGATATCAAATAATCATGATTGAGCATTCCATATTTTGAAATTTTTGATTGCATTAATTAACAAAATGGAGTATTTACAGATATAATTTTATCAAAGATTATTAGGACAC